TGCCACCACACCAGCCTGATTTTTATATTTTTTGTAGAATGAGATTTCACCATGTTGCCCAGGCTGGTCTCAAACTCCTGAGCTTAAGCAATTCACCCACGACAGCCTCCCAAAATGCTAGGATTACAAGCATGAGCCACCACACCCAGCTGCCAGAAAATTTTAATGATCAGAAAGCCACAATTCTTTCTTCCTCTCTTATATGTTGAAGTAAATTACTTCATTTAGAAAACTAGGCTCGGCACAGTGGCTCACACCTGTAATCCCAACACTTTGGGAGGTTGAGGCGAGCAGATCACCTGAGGTTAGGAGTTTGAGACCAGCCTGGCCAACATGGTGAAACCCTGTCTCTGCTAAAAATAGAAAAATTTGCCGGGCATGGTGGTGAGTACCTGTAATCCCAGCTACTTGGGAGGCTAAGGCAGGAGAATCGCTTTAACCTGGGAGGCAGAGGTTGTGGTGAGCCAAGACCACGCCATTGCACCCCAGCCTGGGCAACAGGAGCAAAACTCCATCTCAAAAAAAAAAAAAAAACAAAAAAAAAAAAGAAAAAGAAAAAAGAAATAACTCAACCATACAAGGCTACCCATTTGGTGAGAACTAATAATAAGTTAGATAGCAATGTAATAGCAAAATGTGGGTACAAAATTGAAACAAATTATTTCTTAGGAGAGTGTAGATCTCATGGAAGATTTTCATGTGGACAAATTTAGTAAATTTTTTGCAGGTAATTTCCTGACATATTTAACATTTGTAATATAGTAAACGATAAGAAGGTACTAATATGATCCAGACTAGAAGAGAATAGCACTAAAGTGGGAGATGGGGTAAACCTGTGTTTTTTTTTACTTTAGGCTTTTGACTAACAAATCAATGTTTGACTAACAAAACAATCCAAAATTACTGTTTTTGCTGGGCTCGGTGGGTCACTCCTGTAATCCCAGCACTTTGGGAGGCCAAGGTGGGAGGATTGCTTGAGCGTAGGAGTTTGAGACCATTCTAGGCAACAAAGCAAGAACCTGTCTCTACAAAAATTTAAAAATTAGCCAGAAATGGTGGCACATGCCTGTAGTCCCAGCTACTTGGGAGGCTGAGGCAGGAGGATTGCTTGAGCCTTTTGAAGTTGAGGCTTCAGTGAGCCATGATCACCCCTCTGCACTCCAGCTTGGGCAACAGAGCAAGACCCCATCTCAAAAAATAAAACAAAATAGACTGGGCACGATGGGTCACTCCTGTAATCCCAGCACTTTGGGAGGCCGAGGCGGGCGTATCATGAGGTAAAGAGATCGAGACCATCCTGACCAACATGGTGAAACCCTGTCTCTACTAAAAATACAAAACTTAGCTGGGCGTGGTGGCGCACGCCTGTAGTCTCAGCTACTCGGGAAGCTGAGGCAGGAGAATCGCTTGAACCTGGGAGGTGGAGGTTGCAGTGAGCCAAGATTGTGCCACTGCACTCCACCCTGGTGACAGACCGAGACTCTGCCTCTCAATAAATAAATAAATAAATAAATAAATAAAACAAAATAAGTAAAATAAAATAAATGTTTGTAGTCCCAAAACATTTCGATGGCATAATTTCTTCTTGTTCTAACAAAACTACATATGCATTTGTCCTATGACCTAGCAATCACACTATTAGGAATTTATCATAAATACATACCTCAAAAATTACAAAAATACATATATACCAGGTTATTTATTACAGCATTATTTTTAATTGCAAAAACATTGTAGATAGAATGGAGGTCATATAAAACTTATTCTTAAGATTCAGACCAGGTGCAGTGGCTCATGCCTGTAATCCCAGCACTTTGGGAGGCCAAGGCAGGCAGATCACCTGAGGCCAGGAGTTTGAGACCAGCCTGGTCAGCATGGTGAAACCCTGTCTCTACCAAAAATACAAAAATTAGCTGGGCATGGTGGCACGCCTGTAATCCCAGCTACTCGGGATGCTAAGGCACGAGAACTGCTTGAACCCCGGAGGCAGAGACTGTAGTGATCCGAGATCATGCCACTACATTCCAGTCTGGGCAACAGAGCAAGACTTCGTCTCAAAAAAAAAAAAAAAAAAAAAGATTCACAGATCATCTTATCAAATCAAAGTATGCAAAATATTCAGGTAAACTTCAGATAAATATGAAGCCTAAACCATTCAGCTTCTTCACCAAATCCTTGAATGTCCCACCTGTCTAAATTGAGATACGTGCTTGTTTGATTTATTGGTTAACTGTTTTTATTCCATTTTTCCTCAAATGATCCCATAATTTGACCTTAGGAGGCTGTTCAAATAGACACATTAGGTAGAATGGAAAGACTACTCGATGATATTTAGGATTTTAAGAGGATTTTATTTATTTTTACTTGTGTGCAGTAATTTAATAGCATCTTGAATAGGATTTTATGATATTACTAACCCTCTGGGAATAATATTAGGTAATTAGACAGTTAGCTAATATTAAAATATGTATTAGGTAATATTTATTGAGAGTTTCCTCTGTGTCAAGCAGGGTCAGCTTCATGGGCAGGCAACCTGTGCAGGGACACAGGGCTTCATGCTTAGATGGGCCGCTTGCTTTGAAGGCCCCTACCCTTTGGTTAGGGCTCTGCTGTTATCATCTTGAAATTCTTAATAATTTTTATTTTATTTTTTTGAGTCAGGGTCTTGCTCTGTCACCCAGGCTGGAGTATAGTGGACTCACTACAACTTTGAACTCCTGGGCTCAAGCAATCCTCCCACTTCAGCCTTCTGAGTAGTTAGGATGACAGACACATGCCACCGTGCTCAGATAAGTTTTTTTTTTTTTTTTTTTAAGAGATGAGGCTGTCCCTATGTTGCTCAGGCTGGTTTCAAATTCCTGGCCTCAAGTGATCCTCCCGCCTTAGCCTTCCAAAGTGCTGGGACTACAGACATGAGCCACTGTGCCTGGTCAATCATTTTCAACAACAAGCCCAAGCCCCCTGTTTTGTTTTGTTTTGTTTTGTCTTGTTTTGAGACAGAGTCTCCCTCTGTTGTCCAGGCTAGAGTGCAGTGGTGTGATCTTGCCTCACTGCAACCTCTGCCTCCTGGGTTCAAGTGATTCTCCTGGCTCAGCCTCCCTAGTAGCTGGGATTACAGGCACCTGCCACCACACCCGGCAAATTTTTTGTATTTTTAGTAGAGATGGAGTTTCACTATGTTGGCAAGGCTGGTCTCAAACTCCTGACCTCAAGTGATCCACCCATTTCAGCCTCTGAAAGTGCTGGGATTACAGATGTGACCCACCGCACCCGGCCTCCGAGCCCCCTATTTTTATTTTGCACTGACCCTACAAGTTATGTAGCTAGGCCTAGTTATGTTTTTAGCAAGGAAGGTATATAATCTCATGTACATTTTTGAAAGATTACTCAGGTCTCTGCATGTGAAGTGGAATTTAGGGAATGCAAAAGAGGGAGTAAAAATAACAGCAAGGAAGCTATGATAGCATTTAAGGTTGCTTTGACTCAGGGCTCGCAGTAGATAGGATACGTAATTGATAGTTTCAAAATATGTTTTGGGAGTAGTAAGCATTGGTATGGATTAGTAATATACTGGATGTGGGGATGCAGAAAAACATAGTAAAAATTACTTCTGAAATTCTGGCTGGAATAGAAGTGCCACTTACCAGGTGAGGAAGGTTGGAGACATAACGTATTTGAGGGTATAGTCAAAAGCTGAGTTTGACATTATGCTACATCATATAAAAGACATATAAAAGACTACCTATTTTATAATTCCTTTTTAATAAAATATCTGGAAAAGGCAAAACTGTGGTTGCCTGAGGCTGAAGCTAGGAAGATTGACTACAGCAGGCATGAGGGAAATTTTGGGGGTGATGAGAGTATTCTAAAACTGGATTGTGGGGTTGGTTGCATTACTATATAAATTTATTTAAAATCCCTGCATTTTATAGGGGCACTATGTATGTAGAAAGCTGTGAAAAGATTTTTAAAATGATTGACATGTCTGTGGTTATGTCAGTGAGTACTATTATTATTCCCATTTTATAGATAAAGAAAATAAAAGAGAAGTTAAACATAAAAGTTTCATGGTTACATAGCTACTAGGTTCTACGTATTGGAACCTAGTTCCAATACAATTCCAGTACTGGAATTTGAATCTTTTTGACACTAAGACCTTACCCTCAATCATATAATACATCCACTTCCTATTTTAAAGCTATATTATAGCCAGGTGGTGGCTCACGCCTGTAATCCCAGGACTTTGGGGGGCCAAGGCAGGCAGATCACGAGATTGGGAGATTTGAGACCATCCTGCCTAACACGGTGAAACCCCGTCTCTACTAAAAATACAAAAAATTAGCCAGGGATGGTGGCACACACCTGTATCCCAGTTACTAGGGAGGCTGAGGCAGGAGAACTGCTTGAACCCAGGAGGCGGAGCTTGCAGTAAGAAGAGATCGTGCCAATGCACTCCAGCCTGGGTGACAAAGCAAGACACCATCTAAAAAAAAAAACAAAAAAAACCATATATATATATATAGTAAATGCTGCATCTCATTGGTCAGAAGCTCTCTTGAAATTATAAAACAGAGAAGAAAAAAGATAAAGACTGGGAAATTGTGTTGAATCAGTATATAAATCCTGTATACTGGTCCTTCCATTTCCCCTAGAAATAAGTGATACAGGCCAGGCACTGTGACTCACACCTGTAATCCCAGCACTTTGGGAGGCAGAGGCTGGCAGATCACCTGAGGTTGGGAGTTTGAGATCAGCCTGACCAACATGGAGAAACCCCATCTCTACTAAAAATACAAAATTAGCTGGGTGTGGTGGTGCATGCCTGTATTCCCAGCTACTCGGGAGGCTGAGGCAGGAAAATTGCTTGAACCTGAGAGGCGGAGGTTGCGGTGAGCCAAGATTAAGCCATTGCACTCCAGCCTGGGCAACAAGAGCAAAACAAAAGAGAGAGAGAGAGAGAGAAGGAGGGAGGGAGGGAGGAAAGGAAGGAAAAGAAGGAGAAGGAAAGGAAGGAAATAACAAGTTATGGCATCTTTGTTTATTATCCACTGTGAGTTGTATTATCACACCTTACTTGGCTCCTTGGCAAACTATATTATATCTTCAGATCATTAGGGCTGGGAAATAGTCTCATCAGGTCCACTGGTAACTTGAAGGAGTAAATGTATCTTCCAAAAAATGCTTACTTCCAGGGAGATTGGATCCACACAAATGAATACGTATATAGTCCTTAGTGTATGCTATTATTGTACGATGCCAGTAGCATAAAGATTCCTGTATTAATAAGCATTAAGTGCCTGCTGTGCTAGACAGTGAGGATACAAGTGGCCACGAAAATAGCATGGTCCCTGCCCTCCTGGAGCTTCTATTTTTCTTTTTCAGTGGGAGAAGCAGACATTTTGCTTAAGCAAAAATAATTATAAAATTTAAAGTTGTGCCAAGTTCAATGGAAAAAAATATAAAGTGTTCTGAGAGAGCATAACAAAGGATCCTGGTCTTAACTGGGGCCTAATGGAAGACCTCTATTAGAAAATAACATTTAAACTAAGACCAGAAAGATTTGTAGAAATTAGCAAAGCAAAGGGAGGGAGGAGAAAGCAGCTTTCCTGGCAAAGGAACAACTTGTGTGAGGGCCCTGAGACAGGGAAGGGCTGGGAATCTGACCACCCTCAAAGTGGTGCAATGGAGTATAGTTAGAGAGGGAGAAGACATGAGAACTTGAATACTATGCAAAGGACTTGGTATTTTAATTCAAGAGCAGTATGATGCTACTGAGGAGCAGCTGGAGAATTGTGTGATCCAACTAAAATTTTAGGAAGATCAACCTCGCTATTGTGGAGAATGGATATACCAGGGTTCTGTTGGTTCATGAAGAGGTCTTAAGAAAACTATGAGCTGGGTGCAGTAGCTCAGGCCTGTAGTCCCAGCTACTCAGAAGTCTGAGGAGGGAGGATCCCTTGAGCCCAAGGAGTTGGAGGTTACAGTGAGCTGTGATTATTCCACTGTACTCCAGCCCGGATGACAGAGTGAGATCCTGCCTCAGAAACAAAAACAAAAAAACAAACAAACAACAACAACAACAGAAGTCTCAGAAAACTACAGGCCTTATTATCAAGAAAATGGCAGGCCTTATTATTGAGAAAATGACTTAACATTTTTAAAAGCTGATTTTCAAAAACCAGACTGTGAATTAAGTGATGCTGAATAGCAGAAGAAAAGATTGATAAACCAGTGTATCTCTGAATAACCCACTAGATCAGTGCTTGTCAAACTTTAACGGGTTTTCAAATCATCCTGATGTTTTGTTAAAATGTAAATCCTGTCTCAGTAGGTTTAGAGGAGGGCATTTCTGCATTTCTAACAAGCTCCCTGGTGGTGCCTAGACCATTGATCCTCACACTTTGCATAGCAAGTGACTGGGCCATACTCTATATTCTAAATTCTAAATGTATTCTATCTTCTAATGCCTATCAGCCCTCTTGCTGGTCTGGCTAATTATCAAACTTGAGCATTTAAAACTGTGGGTTTTCAGAGATGAATTGAAGTGTTAAAGGCATGGAAATGTAGGTCACATATGGCTTTTCATCTCTTTGGGAAATATCCTATATATCCTTACTTCTTTTCTACCTACCTAACCTATGTGCCTACCCCTTCACTTATGTTCAAGGTTCTGTTATACTTCAAAAGGACTCTATGCAATCAAAGTGATGTCTAAGAAATAGTATGAGGCTCTAACACTTTACATCTAATGGTGTGGTTTGCATCATTTATTGAGGCTTACTCTGTGCCAGGCACTTTACCTGCCTTCTTATTTAATAGGAGAGGACCAGGAACGCTTAGAGGTTCGTTTCTTGTTCAAGGATATACATCTCAACTCTGATATCACAGTGGACTCTTTTATTCACTATCATAATCATTATCATTTTGTTTGGTGACTACAATTCTAAATGCAGAAAACTGAAGCCTCTTTATTCTGTGACTAAAGGCTTTGTATTTTCTAAAGATTTGTGGAGCTTTGCTGCCATTATTTCAATAATTTTATAAAGATCCTAGGTGTTAAATAGGTCTGGCTTTTTTTCTTTTTAAAATCTTCTCCGTCTTCTTCTTCGTTAGCAGTGCAACTTCTTGTGGCATATGTGGCATAAGTGCAAGATCTTGGGAAAAGGATTGATCAAGTAAAGGGAAACTATAGAGAGAGTGTGCTCAACAATTGAGATCATGCTCCTTGTGAAAGATGGGGTAGGGAAATTTCTTATTGCTCCCTGGTTCTTAAGAAATGAGAGCTAACAATGACATCCAGTTTTAAAAGAAATAAAATCTGAATTGTACTTTTAAATTTTATAAGCCAGAGTTAAACCAATAGATAGTAACTCCTGCTAATTTGATAGTAGCTCCAGATAGTGAGGAAGTGACAGGGAATGCTAATTTCATTTGGTAAGAGATAAAACTGAAATTATTAATGTCTCCACGGAAATGCTAAATGCCTCCTTACAAGTAGGGTCTGGCTAATTGTCTGTCTTCCAACAAACCAGATTTGTTGGTGTTTTCCCCGACAACGTTGTGTAGTTTTCGGTTTGGTTCGATCCCCTTTCTTGTGATCAAAGAAAGTGATTCAAGTGTTTAATGGGTCTTGATTTGGATTGGAGACTTGCAGAACGGTTAGCCTCACCGCCCCAAGGCTGGCTTTCCTTAAGGTAGGTTTCCTATGCACAGATACTGGCAAGGCGCTTTGACTGGAAACTCTGGAAGGAAGCCAAAGGAAAGTGAAGTTCCTGGCGCTAGCGCGTGTCCTGCTCAGAGAGCCCGGCGCTAGCTCATTCTTCGTGCAGTTATTGGCTGGGACTCTGTGTGCCGCTGTCGGCCAATGAAGACGCTGGAGATTGGGCCCCGGCCCGTCCCCTTTCTGCGCCCCGGGATGAGGCAGAGACTGAACAGCCGGCGAGCAAATCAACGGCATCCAGAAAGCCATGTCGGACTCGGCGCCCAGCGCCCTAGCGCTAACCCGCTGAAAGTTTCTCAACGAAATCGCAGGGACGATCTGGACCCCGCTGAGAGGATCTGCCTTTGAGTGAGATGGTCCCAGAGGCCTGGAGGAGCGGACTGGTAAGCACCGGGAGGGTAGTGGGAGTTTTGCTTCTGCTTGGTGCCTTGAACAAGGCTTCCACGGTCATTCACTATGAGATCCTGGAGGAAAGAGAGAAGGGTTTCGCTGTGGGCAACGTGGTCGCGAACCTTGGTTTGGATCTCGGTAGCCTGTCAGCCCGCCGGCTCCGGGTGGTGTCTGGAGCTAGCCGAAGATTCTTTGAGGTGAACCGGGAGACCGGAGAGATGTTTGTGAACGACCGTCTGGATCGAGAGGAGCTGTGTGGGACACTGCCGTCTTGTACTGTAACTCTGGAGTTGGTAGTGGAGAACCCGCTGGAACTGTTCAGCGTGGAAGTGGTGATCCAGGACATCAACGACAACAATCCTGCTTTCCCTACCCAGGAAATGAAATTGGAGATTAGCGAGGCTGTGGCTCCGGGGACGCGCTTTCCGCTTGAGAGCGCGCACGATCCCGATGTGGGAAGCAACTCTTTACAAACCTATGAGCTGAGCCGAAACGAATACTTTGCGCTTCGCGTGCAGACGCGGGAGGACAGCACGAAGTACGCGGAGCTGGTGCTGGAGCGCGCCCTGGACCGAGAACGCGAGCCCAGTCTCCAGTTAGTGCTGACTGCATTGGACGGAGGGACCCCAGCTCTCTCTGCCAGCCTGCCTATTCACATCACGGTGCTGGACGCGAATGACAATGCGCCTGTCTTCAACCAGTCCTTGTACCGGGCGCGCGTCCTGGAGGATGCACCCTCCGGGACGCGCGTGGTACAAGTCCTTGCAACGGATCTGGATGAAGGCCCCAACGGTGAAATTATTTACTCCTTCGGCAGCCACAACCGCGCCGGCGTGCGGGAACTATTCGCCTTAGACCTTGTAACCGGGATGCTGACAATCAAGGGTCGACTGGACTTCGAGGACACCAAACTCCATGAGATTTACATCCAGGCCAAAGACAAGGGCGCCAGTCCCGAAGGAGCACATTGCAAAGTGTTGGTGGAGGTTGTGGATGTGAATGACAATGCCCCGGAGATCACAGTCACCTCCGTGTACAGCCCAGTACCCGAGGATGCCCCTCTGGGGACTGTCATCGCTTTGCTCAGTGTAACTGACCTGGATGCTGGCGAGAACGGGCTGGTGACCTGCGAAGTTCCAGCGGGTCTCCCTTTCAGCCTTACTTCTTCCCTCAAGAATTACTTCACTTTGAAAACCAGTGCAGACCTGGATCGGGAGACTGTGCCAGAATACAACCTCAGCATCACCGCCCGAGATGCGGGAACCCCTTCCCTCTCAGCCCTTACAATAGTGCGTGTTCAAGTGTCCGACATCAATGACAACCCTCCACAATCTTCTCAATCTTCCTACGACGTTTACATTGAAGAAAACAACCTCCCCGGGGCTCCAATACTAAACCTAAGTGTCTGGGACCCCGATGCCCCGCAGAATGCTCGGCTTTCTTTCTTTCTCTTGGAACAAGGAGCTGAAACCGGGCTAGTGGGTCGCTATTTCACAATAAATCGTGACAATGGCATAGTGTCATCCTTAGTGCCCCTAGACTATGAGGATCGGCGGGAATTTGAATTAACAGCTCATATCAGCGATGGGGGCACCCCGGTCCTGGCCACTAACATCAGCGTGAACATATTTGTCACTGATCGCAATGACAATGCCCCCCAGGTCCTATATCCTCGGCCGGGTGGGAGCTCGGTGGAGATGCTGCCTCGAGGTACCTCAGCAGGCCACCTAGTATCAAGGGTGGTAGGTTGGGACGCGGATGCAGGACACAATGCCTGGCTCTCCTACAGTCTCTTGGGAGCCCCTAACCAGAGCCTTTTTGCCATAGGGCTCCACACTGGTCAAATCAGTACTGCCCGTCCAGTCCAGGACACAGATTCACCCAGGCAGACTCTCACGGTCTTGATCAAAGACAACGGGGAGCCTTCGCTCTCCACCACTGCTACCCTCACTGTGTCAGTAACCGAGGACTCTCCTGAAGCCCGAGCCGAGTTCCCCTCTGGCTCTGCCCCCCGGGAGCAGAACAAAAATCTCACCTTTTATCTACTTCTTTCTCTAATCCTGGTTTCTGTGGGGTTCGTGGTCACAGTGTTCGGAGTAATAATATTCAAAGTTTACAAGTGGAAGCAGTCTAGAGACCTATACCGAGCCCCAGTGAGCTCACTGTACCGAACACCAGGGCCCTCCTTGCACGCGGACGCCGTGCGGGGAGGCCTGATGTCGCCGCACCTTTACCATCAGGTGTATCTCACCACGGACTCCCGCCGCAGCGACCCGCTGCTGAAGAAACCTGGTGCAGCCAGCCCACTGGCCAGCCGCCAGAACACGCTGCGGAGCTGCGATCCGGTGTTCTATAGGCAGGTGTTGGGCGCAGAGAGCGCCCCTCCCGGACAGGTAAGGTTTAGCAAGTCATGCTTGACCCTGTTAGTGCTTTTTGATTCCTACATCATATTGAGGAAGGAATGGAGCTGTTTTTTTAGTGATGAAGATGTTTTCCTGATGATGCATTCACACTTTCACCTGGCCCTTCCTAGATCAAAGTTAGTGCCTTTGTGAGATGGTGGCCTGCCAGAGTGTGGTTTGTGGTCCCATTTCAGGGGGAAGATACTTGACTCATCTATGGACCCAATTCACCTCCTCAGCACTCATTTGCTATCACAACTAACCAATCTTGCTAAGGGATGGTTAAGCCAAAAAACAAGATCTCAGCGATCAGAGTTTAGCCTGGTATCATTTACATTAGGAATAAGCTGCTGGATACCTCCAACCAGAGGCAGCTTCTAGGAATACAAAAACTACCTCATTCCTCCACCTTTCAAGTGATTGTGACATTTGTATTAAAACTAGCTTTTTGATAATTTTCCTTTGTTTACACAGATCGTGTACCTCATTCTCAGATAATTTTTTATGAATGAAATGAAATTCCAGGCATCCTTTAAATTTTATTTCAAGCACTCTACTGGAAATGATGTGCACCCTACTTACAAAATATTTTTACCTTGTAACAGTAATGCATGTTTGCTATAAAATTCGGAAAATGCAGAAAAGTATTTTAAAAATTAAAACTACAGGCAGGGAGCGATGACTCAAGCCTGTAATCCCAGCACTTTGGGAGGCCAAGATGGGCGGATCACGAGGTCAGGAGATCGAGACCATCCTGGCTAACACGGTGAAACTCCATCTCTACTAAAAAATACAAAAAAACTAGCCGGGCGAGGTGGCGGGCGCCTGTAGTCCCAGCTACTCGGGAGGCTGAGGCAGGAGAATGGCATAAACCCGGGAGGCGGAGCTTGCAGTGAGCTGAGATCCAGCCCCTGCACTCCAGCCTGGGTGATAGAGCGAGACTCTGTCTCAAAAAAAAAAAAAAAAAAAAAAAAAAAAAAATTAAACTACAATCTCCAAACTCAAAGATACCCACTTTTAATTATAAAAGTAATAATTTATTTCAAAAATAAATCTAGACAACCCAAGAAAACATAAAGTAGCCAGACTCAGTGATGTGCACCTGTAGTTCTTGCTACTCAGTGTCTGAGGGGGGAGGAATGCTTGAGCCCAGGAGTTCTGGGCTGTGGTACACTATGCTGATCAATTGATCAATACACTGTCTGCACTAAGTTCAGCATGAATACAGTGACCTCGTGGGAAGGCAGGACCATCAAGTTGCCTAAGGAGGGGTGAACTGGCCCAGGTTGGAAATGCAGGTCAAAACTGCTGTGCTACCCAGTAGTGGGATGACATCTGTGAATAGTCACTGCACTCCAGCCTAGGCAATATAGGGAAACCCTGTCTCTTTAACAATAACAACAACAAAAATCCCAGAAACTACAAAAGGAGAGTCTTTTTGGTGCCTCCAGTGTTAGTCCCTGTCCTTCCAACCTTATTTTTTTTAAGTATATGCACAATGTGAAAGGTAGATAAATTCATATCCTTAGAAAGGTAAAGCATTCATTAATTCAGGGTGGTATGCAAGGATACTATCCAAGGCATGGGTATCCATGCAAGGTGACTGCAAGGCCTTTGCCCTGGAGAGAACACTATACATACTCGCAACTGTAGGAGAACCACTGTTATTTTGTTACTCAGTGCATCATTGCTATCAACTCTTGGATTTGGCAGTTAGACAAATGAGGTTCTACCACTTACCAACTATGAGTCTGTGGCCAAGTTACTCAATCTCCTTTCTAAGCCTCTTCATCATATGCAAAAGGGAATAATAAGTGTTTTATAAGATTCATGCATGATATAATGTATGCAAAGTGTTTAGCATAGTGCCTGGCATATCATAACTGTTAAAAAATTATTAGCCAGCTCCTAGCATTTTGGGAGACTGAGGCGGGAGGGTTGCTTGAGGCCAGCAGTTCAAGACCAGCCTGAGCAATATAGTGAGATCCTGTTTCTACAAAAAAAAAAAAAATTGTTTTCATTAGCTGGGCATGTTGGCATGCACCTTTGGTACCAGCTACTTGGGAGGCTTAAGTGGGAGAATTGCTTGAGCCTGGGAGATAGAAGCTACAGTTAGCTGTGATTGCACCACTACACTTCAACCATGGCAACAGAGTGAGACCCTGTCTCAAAAAAAAATTATCAGCTATTACTATTATTATTTTCATTAGTTCTTCACCCACCTAAAATCTTAAACACACCTTGGAAATACACATATGAGAACAACCAAAAATGACAAAATAGAAGCACATAAGAAAAGGCTAAGAAAGCATGAAAACCAGCAAGAAATAGCTGCCACTCTTCTGGTCAGCCTGGAAAACAACTGGCATTTTCCCTAGAACAATGTCCTCAAATTTGTTGCACATTAAAATCACCTAGAGACCTTTTAAAAATTCTGAAACCCAGGCCACACCCCAACCAATTAAAGCACAATCTCTGGGGGTGGGACATAGACATCATTTTTTGAAGGTCCCCACTTGATCCTAATGTGCAGACAAATTTGAAAACCACTACTTTGGGAGGCTGAGGTGGGTGGATCATGAGATCAGGAGTTTGAAACCAGCCTGGCCAATATGGTGAAACCCCATCTCTACTAAAAATGCAAAAATTAGCTGGGTGTGGTGGCACACACCTGTAGTCCCAGCTACTCTGGAGGCTGAGGCGGGAGCATCAGTGAGGGAGAATCAGTGAACCCAGGACGCGGAAGTTTCAGTGAGCCCTGATCACACAACTGTACTCCAGCCTGGGCGACAGAGTGAGACTCCATCAGAAAAAAAAAAAAAAAAAAAAAGAAAGAAAGAAAGAAAGAAAAAAGAAAAACAGTACTCTAGAACCTGCCAATCCATCGTTTAGCATATATGTGAAGCAAAGTGTTATTCTGGTATTCTCAGAACCAGGATCCAGCTTTATTGGGCTAGGCCCAATTTTTTAAAAAATATAGTAAGGTCTCCTAGCCTTAAAGTATTACATAGAATAGCTCTAAAAGATCACTGTAGGAAGACATAAAATGGTATTTCAGTCATCTAAGGGAAAAACCTTCCTAAACCACTAGCACCTGGGCAACTATTCTTTAAACATCTACAGCTGTTCAATAGGTATTGGGATTGTATTTGGAGGGATGTGACAAAGTTGTTGTATAATTAGATTGCGGTGATGACTGCATCAGTTTAGTATATGTAAATACACTGAAAACCATCGGATTGTACACTTTAAATATGTGATTTGTATGGTATGTGAATTATATCTCAATAAAAATCTAGAGATGAGGCTGGGCTCAGTGGCTCACGCCTGTAATGGCTCCCAGTACTCAGGGAGGCCGAGGTCAGTGGATCACCTGAGGCCAGGAGTTCAAGACCAGCCTGGCCAACATGGTGAAACCCCATCCCTACTAATAATACAAAAATCAGGCCGGGCCTTGTGGCTCACACCTGAAATCCCAGCACTTTGGGAGGCGGAGGCGGGCAGATCACGAGGTCAGGAGTTCGAGACCAGCCTGGCCAACATGGTGAAACTCCATCTCTACTAAAAACACAAAAATTCACTGGGTGTGGTGGCTGAGGCAGGAGAATCGCTTGATGGTGGAGGTTGCAGTGGGCCGAGATCATGCCGCTGCACTCCAGCCTGGGTGAAAGAACGAAACTCCGTCTCAAAAAAAAAAAAAAAATCAGCCAGGTGTGGTAGCAGGTGCCTGTAATCCCAGCTACTTGGGAGGCTGAAGCAGGAGAATCGTTTTAACTCGGGAGGCAGAGGTTACAGTGAGCCAAGGTCATGCTGTTGCATTCCAGCCTGGGCAACAAGAGCAAAACTCATTCCATCTAAAAAAAAAAAAAAAAAAAAAAATCTAGAGATGGGAGAATCATATGGCTGGCATAAAAAGGTCAAGTCAAAGATATGTAAGATTAAGGCTTTATGATGCTCTAGTTCTAGTAAAACAGATTGGGTACTTGTTTTGGTGTGAAATTGCCAATATAAGTATAGTACTGTACATATTAGTTGTTTAGCTTTAGATAAGTCTTTTAATCTCTTTAAACTCCAGTTTCCTCATCTATAAAATAAAGAGAATATCTACTTTGCAAACTTGTTGTGAGAGTGAAAAGTAATGCATATAAAGTCCCTGTACAGAGCAATAACTATTTTTTGAACTAAAAATGATAATACTGATATTCACCATTTATTAGCATCCCTATGTGCCAGATACTGTAAACAATTAAAAGATATCAGTCTGGGCCAGGCGCGGTGGCTCAAGCCTGTAATCCCAGCACTTTGGGAGGCCAAGACGGGCGGATCACGAGGTCAGGAGATCGAGACCAGTCTGGCTAACACGGTGAAACCCCGTCTCTACCAAAAAAATACAAAAAACTAGCCGGGCGAGGTGGCGGGTGCCTGTAGTCCCAGCTACTCCGGAGGCTGAGGCAGGAGAATGGCGTAGACCCGGGAGGCGGAGCTTGCAGTGAGCTGAGATCCGGCCACTGCACTCCAGCCTGGGCGACAGAGCAAGACTCCGTCTCAAAAAAAAAAAAAAAAAAAAAAGATATCATTCTGGTTCCCAGAGTACAATATGAGACAGACAAGAAAAAAGGAAAAAAAAAAATGGAGATCTGCATAATATAAGATGCAGTGGGACAAAATGGGAAGAAACACCTAAATCAGCCTGGGGAAACCAGGAAGGAATGATAGAGGTGGTGATGCTTGAGCTATGAACTAAAGGTTGAGTAGTAGTTTGTCAGATAGTAGAGGGGAAGGGACAGGGCAGGGAGGGGCCATTGCAAGAAATTCCATGCAGAGTGATTATGGTATTTCATTATCGCTGAACTTTAAACTGTGTGTGTGGCCGGGTACGGTGGCTCATGCCTATAATCCTAGCACTTTGGGAGGCCAAGGTGAGCAGATCACTTGAGGTCAGGAGTTCGAAACCAGCCTGGCCAACATGGTGAAACCCCATCTCTATTAAAAATACAAAAAATTAGCCAGGTGTGGTTGCCAGTGTCTGTAATTACAGCTACTTGGGAGGCTGAGGCAGGAGAATTGCTTGAACCCGGGAGGCGGAGGTTGCAGTGAGGTAGTATCAGGCTACTGCACTCCAGCCTGGGCGACAGAGAGAGACTCCATCTCAAAAGAAAAAAAAGTGTGTGTAAAACAGACAGCCTTTGTAGGAGATGAGGTGAAGCAAGTAGGCAGGAGTTAGATCCTGAGTTACCTTTAGGCCATGCCAAGGAGTTTTTATTTTATTTCATATAGATGAGAGTCATTGAAGAATTTTGAACTGATGTACCTATGATATCATGAGTTTTTTGTTTGTTTGTTTGTTTTAGAAAGATTATTCTGTCAGTCATAAGTGAAGGGACTGGGGACATTGGGACTGGAGGCAAAGAGATCAGTTTGAAAGCTATTGCAATATTTGAAGAGATTGATAAATGCTTGAACCAGCACAGTGGCAGTACAGATGGAGGGAGATGACTACAGTAAAATCATCAGGACTTGTTGATTGACATGATATAGGAAGTGAGGGACAGGGATGAGTCAAGGTTGATCCCCCTAGATTCTGACTAAGGCAGCTGGGTGGATGACAGTGCCATTCACAGAGACAGTGAATTCTGACATATACACCTAATAGGTCAGGCTGGTTTATACCTCCATCATTCCCATGGGAGAAAGTATAAAGGGGTGTGTGTGTGTGTGTGTGTGTGTGTGTGTGTGTGTGTAAAAGAACACAGAAAGCCAGATTCCTCTCTTTGACACCAGAATATTGGTTCCCATCATAGTCAAAAGGATATTCCTGAAGATTGAGGCTTGGAAAAATATTGGGGAAGGATAAGAACTCCAGTTGTTGCTGCTTTTTTTGGCAGCCAGTGTAACCTAGGTAAGGACTTCATTGAATTAAGAAATTTCATGTCCAGATCGGATGGATTTTTCTCTTTCTCTGTGCTCTGGTGTGTTTCCCACTCAGATTGCAGGTTGCACGTACCTACAGTGTGAAGTGTGCTGTTTCTGTGCTTGTGCAAGGGAGTAGCTAGGTTGCTGGGAGGTCTGGATGAGGGTGGGGGTGGGGTGAGATCAAGTCTCCAGTTCCAAGAGGTCTGGGGCTAAGTGGAAAGCTTGCTCTTTTGAAATGGTCTTTGTTGGTAATTAACAACATATCCAGAATACCTTGGTGTCAAATAAAGGGAATTTGTAGGCACAATGCTGTTGGTAGCTGATGTCAATCATTCAAGGAAGCTATTAAATCTGTGAACATTAACATTCTGCCAGGTAAAGAGATCTGGTCCTTAGCACCTCCCAGACACATTGATTCTTTACTGTTTTGAAACATCTCCCTCTCCTGGCTTCCTCCACCCAGCTTCCATACTGTCCTTGAAATCAATGAATGGTAATTTAGTGTATCTAGTGTATCACTAGCAAATGTCTGAATAAGAGAGGTTTGGTTTCAGCTGTGCCTCCTGTTACAATGAAAACGTGTACTGCATAAATTTAATTGGCTACATTAATGTGTAAGCCTTTTCTGCAAAGAGATGGATCTGTTTCTGAATATTCTGCAGAAGGGCAGAGTTTTGAGTATATGGCAGTGGTTCTAATTAGCAGTTGCTCTAATACAATCAGATTGAGACGGAAGCTACTCATTTAGAATACTGGTTGATGACAACACTGGCTTGAACAAAGTGACCACTCTCCAATGGCTACTCTCCCTCTCACTGGGCCGCAGGTTGCTAGGGCTCAGGCTGTGGCTGTTTTCCCCGCCGAAAAGGGGCGGGGTCAGTTGATGTGTTAGGAAAAAAAGAAAAACCATATATGTTGTCTGCCTCCCCACAGAGGTAACAACCCGTGGAAAAACATGCCGTTGAGCGGGAGGAAGGCGAAAAGATAGGCTGGGTTTTTTGGGGGGTGGGGGAGCGAGGAGGATAGGGTGGGCTTTTTCCCCTTCAATGCTGCGACGCATTAACCCTGCTGCTGTTGGGACGTTCTCTGTTCAGCCTATTGGCTGAGCCCGGGAGCCGCTGTCTGCCAATCGGGTGGTGAAAGGCAGACAAATCTACCCCGCCACCAGCAAAAACGGCGCGTAACCCTTGCGGCGCCGGCCGAGCCGCGCCAGAGCTGGCGCGGGGAAAGCGAGATAGGTGTCTCCAGCTGCTGTGGCTGTTTGGGGCGGGTCGGCTTCATCCGCGTCTCAAGAGCAAGTAGAGAATTAGCGGGCGGCAGCAATGCTCCGCAAGGTGAGAAGCTGGACAGAAATCTGGCGGTGGGCTACCCTTTTGTTCCTCTTTTACCACCTGGGTTACGTTTGTGGGCAGATCCGCTACCCGGTCCCAGAGGAGTCACAGGAAGGGACTTTTGTAGGGAATGTCGCCCAAGATTTCCTGCTGGATACGGACAGTCTGTCAGCTCGCAGGCTGCAGGTCGCTGGAGAGGTGAACCAAAGACACTTCCGTGTGGATTTGGACAGCGGAGCCCTGCTCATCAAAAACCCAATCGACCGAGAGGCACTGTGTGGGCTCAGTGCCAGCTGCATCGTGCCCCTGGAGTTTGTCACCGAAGGTCCTTTGGAAATGTACCGAGCAGAGGTAGAGATCGTAGATGTGAATGATCACGCCCCCCGTTTTCCGCGGCAGCAGCTGGACTTGGAAATTGGGGAGGCAGCTCCTCCAGGACAGCGTTTCCCGTTGGAAAAGGCTCAGGATGCAGATGTGGGGAGCAATTCGATTAGCAGCTATAGGCTGAGCTCCAATGAACACTTTGCGCTGGATGTGAAGAAGCGCAGCGACGGCAGCCTGGTCCCAGAGCTGCTCCTGGAGAAGCCTTTGGATCGAGAGAAGCAATCGGACTACCGCCTGGTGCTGACTGCTGTAGATGGAGGGAACCCGCCGAGATCTGGCACCGCAGAGCTCCGGGTATCCGTGTTGGACGTAAACGACAACGCCCCAGCCTTCCAGCAATCCAGCTACAGGATTAGTGTGTTGGAGAGCGCACCAGCGGGCATGGTGCTCATCCAGCTCAATGCCTCCGACCCGGACCTGGGTCCCAGTGGTAACGTCACCTTTTATTTCAGTGGTCATACCCCTGATCGTGTAAGAAACCTCTTTAGCCTGCACCCCACTACTGGAAAGCTTACTCTTTTGGGGCCCCTAGACTTTGAGAGTGAGAATTACTATGAATTTGATGTGCGGGCTCGCGATGGGGGTTCTCCAGCCATGGAGCAACATTGCAGCCTTCGAGTGGATCTGCTGGATGTAAATGACAATGCCCCTTACATCACAGTGACCTCAGAGCTTGGAACCCTCCCTGAGAGTGCAGAACCTGGCACTGTGGTGGCACTTATCAGTGTGCAGGATCCAGACTCAGGGTCAAATGGAGATGTGAGCCTCCGCATTCCTGACCACTTGCCATTTGCCCTCAAGTCTGCCTTCAGGAACCAGTTCTCCCTGGTGACTGCTGGACCCTTAGATAGAGAGGCCAAATCTAGCTATGACATCATGGTCACTGCTTCTGATGCTGGGAACCCTCCTCTCAGTACCCACAGAACTATTTTTCTCAATATTTCAGATGTGAATGATAATCCACCCTCTTTCTTTCAGAGGTCACATGAGGTGTTTGTTCCTGAGAACAATCGCCCAGGGGACCTGCTTTGCTCCCTTGCAGCCTCTGACCCAGACTCTGGCTTGAATGCGCTTATCTCCTACTCGCTCCTGGAGCCCAGGAATCGAGATGTGTCAGCTTCCTCCTTCATCTCTCTGAACCCCCAGACAGGAGCTGTTCATGCTACTCGATCCTTTGACTATGAGCAAACCCAGACACTGCAGTTTGAGGTGCAGGCCCGGGATCGGGGCAATCCACCCCTTAGCAGCACTGTGACAGTTCGTCTATTTGTGCTGGACCTCAATGACAATGCCCCAGCTGTGCTCCGTCCTCGGGCCCGGCCTGGTTCCTTATGTCCCCAAGCACTGCCTCCATCAGTTGGTGCTGGCCACCTAATCACAAAGGTGACTGCTGTGGACCTGGATTCAGGTTACAATGCTTGGGTTTCCTATCAGCTCCTGGAGGCCCCAGACCCCAGCCTGTTTGCAGTCTCTCGATATGCTGGGGAGGTGCGGACGGCTGTTCCCATCCCAGCTGACCTCCCACCACAGAAGCTGGTCATTGTGGTAAAGGATAGTGGTAGTCCACCACTCTCTACCTCTGTTACTCTCTTAGTGTCCTTAGAGGAAGACACACATCCAGTTGTCCCAGATCTTCGAGAATCTTCAGCTCCAAGGGAAGGAGAATCTCGTCTAACTCTCTACTTGGCTGTGTCCCTAGTGGCGATTTGCTTTGTCTCCTTTGGCTCATTCGTGGCACTACTCTCTAAGTGCCTTCGTGGGGCAGCCTGCGGAGTGACCTGCTTTCCTGCGGGCACCTGTGCTTGTCTCACCAGATCTCGAAGGAGGGAGGGGCTTCCCCCTTCCAATGGGATCCTCCGAATCCAGCTAGGGTCAGATGACCCTATCAAGTTTGTTGATGTGGGAGGCCACTCTCACGGCTGTACACCCTTGGCTTCTGCACCCACTCGGAGTGATAGCTTCATGATGGTGAAGTCACCCAGTGCACCTATGGCAGGGGAACCTGTTCGCCCAAGCTGCCCACCCTCTGATCTTCTCTATGGGCTAGAGGTGAGACCTTTGCAGGCTCAACCAATGCTTGAGAGTTATTCTGATCCAGGCATGTGGCTAGGCCATGTCCTAAAGAGTACTGGCCTCTCAGTAAGAGCCCATAGTGATGTCACCATTTTTGTGAGAGGTAACTATGTGGTAGACGCTGTGCTTTGTAACTGTTTTATGAATTAACTAGAGTTGTCACAATTTAGCACTGGGGGTGGGTCATGCCTATATCTGAGTCAGAAATGAAAGTAATTGGTGATCAAGAGCCAGGCTGTTGTGGAAGCATGCTGATGGAATGTGGGAGCACAGAAGGCTACAGTGCACAGGGTACAGTGCACCAGGCAGTCACTTGGACAAAGGTGGCTGTTTTCTCTACTCTTCCTGAAAGAGGGGATCAGATTCTGAAGTACCTTAACTCTAGGTTACCATTTCCCAAGGGATTGAGGGGAAATAAAATCTTTGTCTCACAGTATCCAGTACACTGTGAAGGGACCTCTCTATCTGAAACATAGCATGCAGCAGAAAGAGGAGAGAACTAAAGGAATAGAGAGGCACACATCAGAGTGGTTGGTAGCACAGATCTTTTGGTCTGGATCTTAGGACTCGGATAAAGTCCCTACTGGGGATTTGAACTAGATGCAGTAAATTGGAAGGTTGGGGCGGGCTGGTCATCACCTTTGGAAAAAAGCAGTAAGTGAAATCACTTATGACAGAAAACTGATTTACAGTTGGCTGATTCATAGAAACAGCCACCCTGTGTATCTTTAAGTTGGGTTCTCCTGAATTTGGTGAAACCATGAAACCTAGAGGCCGTCCATGCTTGGCCTCTGACCACTGTCCTGGGTGACCTGATTCAGCCCCAGAAATGTTCCCCTACCCAAAAACTGTAACACTCATTCCACATTTGGGGTCTGGGGTGTCAGAAAAGCTAAGTCCCATGTCAGCTGACATTGAGATTTCCTCAAAGCATTGCTGGAGAGTCAGGGCAAGACTTTACAAGGTTCTTACTAATCTTTTCTCTCACCTTAGCAGCATTCAGCAGGATGGGGGAGGGAGGGAGAATACATGGGCTTTGCCTCTCCCAGAAGGACAAGATTTTGCTGGTTCGAGCAAAGTGGTGGAAGCTTCTGAAGTCATGCAGGAAGTTGCTGGGACAGAACGCTGAGGAGTTTTGTATCACTTTGTCTTCCCTGTTGAGCACCATCTGAGCTGTCAAACTTTGCTGCCAAGGGGGCTGAATCAACCTGCAGCACGAAATGAGTGGGGAGGTAGGAAGCTTCTGTGACACAGATTTGCAGCGTGTGTTCCCAAGGTTTCCAGGCTTGAGGATACTTCATAATTGGTTGAGAACACATAGACTTTTTGGCCAATCAGACTCAGAGTTGAGGTGGGAGATCTGCTCTTCCAGCCCGCCTCTCCTCCTCCAGCTCCCCAGCTTCACTCAAATTCAGCTCCCCTCCCCACCGCCCACCCCCGCCACCCGGTGACTAAGAAGAACTGCTGCAGGCAGGCAAAGCTCCGAGCAGTTATTAAGAGGCTAGAAGGAGACATAAGAGACTTCAGCTGCTGCATTCCAAGCCCTGGGTCTACCTTGGAGACAGGACAGCACAGACTTACTCTCCACGAAGGGACTTCTGGGTCATGGGGCACAAGACACCCCCACAGCTCGCTGGGAAATGGCAAGTGCTGTGCATGTTGTCCTTGTGCTGCTGGGGCTGGGTGTCTGGGCAGCTTCGTTACTCAGTGGTGGAGGAGTCTGAGCCGGGGACGCTGGTGGGGAATGTTGCTCAGGATCTGGGCTTAAAGATGACAGATCTGTTGAGCCGGCGGCTGCAGTTGGGCTCTGAGGAGAATGGGCGCTATTTTTCCCTGAGCTTGATGAGTGGTGCCCTGGCAGTGAATCAGAAGATTGACCGAGAAAGCCTATGTGGAGCCAGCACCAGCTGCCTGCTGCCAGTGCAGGTGGTGACTGAACACCCCCTGGAGCTAATCCGCGTAGAGGTAGAGATCCTGGATCTCAATGACAACTCTCCTAGCTTTCCTACCCATGAGCGAGAGATGCGCATCTCAGAATCAGCAGCACCTGGGGCACGATTCCCACTGGACAGTGCCCAGGATCCGGATGTGGGCACCAATACCGTGAGCTTTTACACTCTAAGCCCCAATAGCCACTTCTCTCTGAATGTGAAGACCCTAAAAGATGGGAAACCATTCCCAGAGCTGGTGCTAGAGCAGCAGCTGGATCGTGAAGCCCAGACAAGACATCAGCTGGTGCTTACTGCTGTGGATGGGGGGACCCCAGCCCACTCAGGGACCACCCTTATTTCTGTCATCGTGCTGGACATCAATGATAACGCTCCAACCTTCCAATCCTCAGTTCTACGTGTGGGAATCCCAGAGAATGCACCCATTGGTACTCTGTTGCTCCGCCTCAATGCCACTGATCCAGACGAGGGCACCAATGGCCAACTAGACTATTCTTTTGGAGACCACACATCTGAGGCAGTGAGGAACCTCTTTGGCCTAGACCCTAGCAGTGGGGCAATCCATGTATTGGGTCCCATAGACTTTGAGGAGTCAAGTTTCTATGAAATTCATGCAAGAGCCCGTGACCAGGGACAGCCTGCCATGGAGGGCCACTGTGTGATTCAAGTGGATGTGGGGGATGTCAATGACAATGCTCCAGAAGTGCTATTGGCCTCTTTGGCCAACCCTGTCCTAGAGAGCACACCAGTAGGCACAGTAGTGGGGTTGTTTAATGTGCGAGACCGAGACTCAGGTAGAAATGGTGAAGTGAGCCTTGATATCTCTCCGGACCTGCCATTTCAGATTAAGCCTTCTGAGAACCACTACTCGCTGCTAACCAGCCAGCCTTTGGACCGGGAGGCCACATCCCACTATACCATCGAGCTGCTGGCCAGCGATGCTGGTTCACCTCCCCTGCACAAACATCTCACCATCAGGCTCAACATTTCAGATGTTAATGACAATGCACCCCACTTCAACCAGCAGCTTTACACTGCTTACATCCTAGAAAACCGGCCTCCAGGCTCCCTTCTCTGCACTGTGGCTGCCTCAGATCCAGACACTGGGGATAATGCCCGCCTCACCTACTCCATTGTAGGAAATCAGATTCAGGGAGCCCCAGCCTCCTCTTTCGTGTATGTCAACCCAGAGGATGGACGGGTGTTTGCCCAGCGTACCTTTGACTATGAATTGCTACAGATGCTGCAGATTGTGGTGGGGGTTCGAGACTCCGGCTCTCCCCCATTGCATGCCAACACATCTCTGCATGTGTTTGTCCTGGATGAGAATGATAATGCCCCAGCTGTGCTGCACCCACGGCCAGGCTGGGAACACTCAGCCCCCCAGCGTCTCCCTCGCTCTGCTCCTCCTGGCTCCTTGGTCACCAAGGTGACAGCCGTGGATGCTGATGCAGGCCACAATGCGTGGCTCTCCTACTCACTGTTGCCACAGTCCACAGCCCCAGGACTCTTCCTCGTGTCTACACACACTGGTGAGGTGCGCACAGCCCGGGCCTTACTGGAGGATGACTCTGACACCCAGCAGGTGGTGGTCCTGGTGAGGGACAATGGTGACCCTTCACTCTCCTCCACAGCCACAGTGCTGCTGGTTCTGGAGGATGAGGACCCTGAGGAAATGCCCAAATCCAGTGACTTTCTCAAACACCCTCCTGAGCGTTCAGACCTTACGCTTTACCTCATTGTGGCTCTAGCGACCGTCAGTCTCTTATCCCTAGTCACCTTCACCTTTCTGTCAGCTAAGTGCCTTCAGGGGAATGCAGACAGGGACGGGGGTGGAGGGCAGTGCTGCAGGCGCCAGGACTCACCCTCCCGGGACTTCTATAAGCAGTCCAGCCCCAACCTGCAAGTGAGCTCGGACGGCACGCTCAAGTACATGGAGGTGACGCTGCGGCCCACAGACTCGCAGAGCCACTGCTACAGGACGTGCTTTTCACCGGCCTCGGACGGCAGTGACTTCACTTTTCTAAGACCCCTCAGCGTTCAGCAGCCCACAGCTCTGGCGCTGGAGCCTGACGCCATCCGGTCCCGCTCTAATACACTGCGGGAGCGGAGCCAGGTGAGGGGCTCGGCGCCGCCCCGGGCGACCCCTGGGGGCGGCACTAGAGAAGCCGCCCGTCCTCATAAGGGACTAAACTGGCATCCACTCCTCTCCGGGCGGCTCGGCCGCTGGCTGCGCTCCACCCGATTCTCGGGATCATTGGACCGTTTGCGCGGAACCAGAGGAGTGGCCGATTAAGGGATGGGGCTCCGAGCACCGGGGGTGGTGGCAACTGTGATCAAGGGGAGGTGGGACCGACCCCCACCCCACACTCAGAAAAGGCTGGGGCCCCCGTCGAGCTTCCGGTGAATTTCGGGCGATTTCCGCGGGTGTCGGGGGTCCCGGGAGGAGGCAGTCACAGATCCACCCATGCAGCCAGCCTCCTAGGCGCCGGCTCCCGCACGCTTCGCCGGTCTTGAGGTTTCCTCTTCGATTTCTCCCCAACCCCCAGCATCTGTGACTTCGCTGTTACCCTCCCTATTCCCGCATCACCCAACCGCATCTGTCTGCAGGACTTAGGTGTGCGCGCGGGGCTCATGCGTATCCTCCCTGCAGGCCACCCCCACGGCCCACGCACTGTGCACCGGCTCGCCACGCCCCGCCAACACATGCGCGGACGCACGCACACACCCCTCGCACTTGCGCTTACACGAATACCAGCTTTCACTGCCACTCGCTCGCGGCCAGGTTCACAGGCCTGTCCCGGCCCACTCGCAGTTCTCCCTCTGAGACCGTTCCCTCCGCCTGGCTCAGGGGTACTCGTAGCAGATTGTGCGCGCCTTAGTGAGGGTCCCAGATCGCGGCCGCCCAGGACCAGGCGAGGACTCCGGAGCCTCCTCTCACCTCTCCCACCTGGGCCCCGGGCTGGGCTGGGTCGTCTAGGGGCGGCCTGAGCTAGGCGCGGGGCCAGGAGTGCTGGAGCGACTCCGCGCTCAAAGTGTCAGGCGGGCGGGACTCTACGACCCTTGGGCCAGAGATCCGGATGGTCCCGGGGCTCCGTCTCAAGGGTGGCGACCTCTCAACCCAGAAGCCTCCAGCGGGCGGACAGGCAGAGCTGCCCAGTGGCCCGAGGCGCAGGGCTCGGCCTTGGGCGAGTGAGTGCGCCTCTATAGGACAGCAGGCCTGGGACTCCAGTGACAAGAGCGGCCCCTTCCTCCCGCAGGAAGTGGAAGCCTGGAGCGCCCTGGCTCTCAACGCCCAGAGATACAGGCTTTTGGCGCCGTCGTGATCACAATGTGCCCAGAGATCTAGGGTCAGAGATTTGGAGGTGACCAAGCTATCTGAGACTGTAACAAGTCCTCTCTCCTCTGGCAGATGTAAAGCTGTAGGCTCTGCCGGATGCCAGGGTGCCCTTATGTGTGAGGAAACTACAGTAGTAAAAAACACAAGCTTCCCCAACTCTAGGAGCTTTTATTCAAAATATGTCTATGCCTAACTCTGCCCCTAGGGAATCAGAACTGTAGTTTGAAACACCCCCAGGTGATTTTGATAACTGATTGAGAGAAACTTACTATATAACTCTTTTGAGCATCTCATCTCATTCGCTCTTCCCACCATTGCTGTTGGCTAGGTACTAACATGCCTCTCTTATAACAGCTTCAAAAAGGTCAACTGACTTGCTCAAGTTCACAGAGCAAGTAAGAGAGATTCTAACCCCTATCTAACTCCAGAATTTGTGTTTTTAATTTCTTGGCACTTGGAACTTTAAAAGCTTGAGGACAGGATAGGGGAGTTGGCTCTGCTGGGATTTTGCTTCTGCTGGGATGGGGCAAGGGTGGGGTTCCTACCTTTTAGGACCTTACCTGTGGGGAAAGTCTTCTGCGGCTCCTTATTTCTGAGCAGTTCCCACAGCACAAACTTGGCCAGTTATCCTTACGTAGGTTGAGTTTCCCCTAGCTCCCTTTCCTCCTACCACAATTATTGCATTTCCATGTAGATTCTGCTGTGTCTAAGAATACAGTGGCTGAGGGCTGGCTATCCTTGTGCCCTTCTCCATGGCAGCCCTAGAATGGTGCTGGTGACTCCCGATGTACCTGGAATGCTAGGTTTCTGGGTTCTGCTCATATCACTGCTACCTGTGGGCCTTAGAGTGAGCCGCTGGCAGTTCTGGAGCTTCCTTCTCCCTGGAGTAATCTGAGATACTCACACTCTGCACTTCTGGGAGCAAGTATGAGTATTAATTACCAGCCCACCCCAGAACCAGTGAGGAGATGGCTCTAGGAGTGCTCCATGAGATTGTGTGATGGGATAACACATCCCCTGGAAAGACCAGAAGGGACTGAGGAATGAAGTGGCTGGCCAGAGCCCCACACCTTCAGCTATGTGAGAGATGGCTACAAAGCAGCCCCTTGGGAGCCCTGGAGACTTAGTTGGCCCTGCTTGGAGGTTATGGGAACTGGATCCCTCCCCCCTGCATCCCTTCCATTTTTCTCCGTCTCAGACAGAGCAGCCTTGTTCTCTTCCCCTTAGTCACAGACCATTGTCTGGCACAGAGTTCCAGGGGTGAGAAGTGTCCCGGGACTTGGATGCTATGCAAATGCCCAATCTGGCATGACTCCCAAATTAATAATGTCTTTAGCTGTGGGAAGAGATCCTTGCGAGCCAAGGACCCGGAGAAGGTGTCCCTGTGAATGTGTCACTGCACAACCTGGCACCAAAAGGGTTACCAGGAGCAGCAGCCATCTTGCTGCAGAGGATGCTTTGTTCGCAGCTGAGGAGTTGAATAAACTCATTCTAGGGCTGGTGGAATTATCATTGAAAAGCCTCCTCTGCCACTTTAGGGGGATTTCTCTGCACCTCTTCCCCCAGTTCCACAGAAGATACCTTCAGTCCTTGAATTTTGGCTCAGGAGTTCTGACTCTGGGGGCAGGGAGGAAGGGGCCATTTCTTTAGGAAAGGAGTCTGAGCTTGCTCACTGTGATCAGATGAAATGTGATTTATCTCTTGGTTTCTGGTACCTCAGACCTCTGAGACCTGAGGTGTATTTTGTCTTTGGAGATGAGTCCACCCCTGCCCCCTCTTAACCCGTTTTCTTCTCTGTGCCCGCTCCCCTCCTTCTCTCCTGGCCCATCCCTAGGGGCTCGGGTGACATTCTAATTTCTCACAAGTACTCAGCCCCTCTCCCTCTGTTTTCTCCACAGCAAGCCCCGCCCAACACGGACTGGCGTTTCTCTCAGGCCCAGAGACCCGGCACCAGCGGGTAGGTGACTGATTCTCCAGCCCACCCTCTTCTCTGCGGCATTTTCTCAGGGATGATATGGGAGGAGATGGGGGAGGGCTCAGCATTTGCTACAACTGGCTTCTCCCTCAGTTTGAGATCCCAGGGAGGTCTTGGTGTGTGGGGGGCTGGCACACAGACCCCAGAAGGAAGAGGCGACTGCCCTGACTGTTCAGGAAGCTCAATTCACATGCTTGCTCCTTCCGTCCTCCCCACGACCGGCACCTTTTCCCATCCCCTGAGGGCACTGTGGAACCAAAGGTGGTCTTAGGCTGGTCTCTGGGTGAAAGCGAGGCTTTCTATGCCCATGTACTGCCTAACTCCCTCCTCTGAGTTGAGCTGGGCTCCATTCTGACCTGGGGCTCAGGCAGAAAAACACTGGACCGGAGGAGGCCGTCTGCAGTCAGCACCTCCTCCAGAGCCTCCAGAGCCAAGGCTGATTGGAGCCTGGGGAGAGTGGAGGCAGCACACCAGGCTGGAGGTGGGACTGACATGTATGGAAGACCTGGGTGGGGCATGGAGCAGGCTCCCCTCATTTGGCTGCTCCTCCCACTGTCCTCTGCCCCTACTTGTCCTGCCCTCTCTGTCTGTGGGGTCTCTGTGTCTCTGCCCCTTTTTCTTGAGTTTCTGTCTTTGCCACTTTCTCTTACCTCTGGGTCCTTCCCTCAGTCTCTATCTCGCTTTGCAATCTCTGCCTCTCCCTCTCTTCTCCATCTCTGTCTTAGCTTCGGTCTTGATTGCTGCACCTCAGCTTCAGTCCCTTTCATTTGTCTACTTGCATTGATCTGTGCCGCCCACTGTGCCTGCCATGGCATAAGTGCTCAATTAATGTGGAGTGAGTGACTACATAGGACTCTTCGTCTCTTTCTCCTTCTCTATCTCTGCCTCCCTGTCCTTTTCCTGGACCTCTTTTCTGTTTCTCCTTTCACCATTTCCTAGCGCCTTGTGCTCTTCTATCCCCAGCCTCTATGTTTCTCTGTCTGTCACTATTTCTGCTTTCCTGTCTGTTCTCAGGCTCACTGCATCTCTTTCTTTGCCTCTGTCTCTGTATATCTCTCTGTGCCTGTTGTCTTTTTCTGCCTCTTTCTCTGTTACTCTTTATCTCTCTTTTTCTTTTATCTCATCTTTTTCTCTGAGCCTCTGTCTCTTCTCTCATTTTTTTGTGCTTGTGGGCAAGCCAGCACACACAACCCCCCACCCACCACCCACCACCACCCCGCTCTCTTCCTTCCCTTCCCCTCACACACTGAGCCTTTGATCATAGCTCTCCACCACACCCCCTCCCATCCAAGCAGCCCCAGCTGCTTATTTCAATCTGGTATGAATTCCTGCTGAGACAGGAACCCCCTGCGGGCTGAAGGGGAGGGAAACTTCAGCAGAAAGACCTTCAGTTGGTCTGAGCAGAGTGGGATAGGCTGTGGGCCAGGCCTCCCAGTTAGAAGTCAGGAGCCTGGAGGAGTCTCAGAGCCCAGGGAGGGAAGCAGGAGCTTGGGCCACCTTACCCTATCTCCTCAATGGTTGAGTACTTGCTGTCCACATTTGCCAAGTTGCTACAGATGCTGAGCTTCCAAGAATCCCCTCTCCCCATCCTACAACCAACCATACCCTTGTTGCCACAAGGACCCAGGAGCCCTTGGTGTATGGCAGAGATTCCAGCTCCTGGGCATGCATAGTCCTGTCACCCGTTTTAGGAACGCAAAGCGTTTCTTAGAAGCCCCTTAAAAAGCAGCAGATCAAAAGGCTTGGGCTTTTTGCCCTTGGGCTGCCCTTGCCCTTCCTTTGACCCCAGCCATTGTCCTTCTCCCAGCTGGCCTTGCCAACCTTCTCATAAGTTATCCATTAAGCCATTAATGTATTCATTCATTCATTTATTCAACAAATATTTATCGAGCATCTACTATGAGCAGGGCCCTGTGTTAAACATTGGGCTATAAGAGTAAACAAGTAGGCCGGGCGTGGTGGCTCATGCCTGTAATCCCAGCACTTTGGGAGGCCAAGGCGGGTGGATCACGAGGTCAGGAGATCGAGACCATTCTAGCTAACACGGTGAAACCCTGTCTCTACAAAAATTCAAAAAATTAGCCGGGCGTGGTGGCAGGTGCCTGTAGTCCCTACTCAGGAGGCTGAGGCAGGAGAATGGCGTGAACCTGGGAGGTGGAGCTTGCAGTGAGCTGAGATTGTGCCACTGCACTCCAGCCTGGGGGACAGAGCGAGACTCAGTCTCAAAAAAAAAAAAAAAAGAGTGAACAAGTAGATGTGATCCCGGAACTCACAGGCTTCCAGGCCAGCAGTGGAGACAGAAAATTTGCAACAAGTAACACTTAAAAAAAAAAAAAAAAAGCCTGGGCACTGTGGCCCACACCTGTAATCCCAGCACTTTGGGAGGCCAAGGTGGATGGATCACCCCCACAAGCTGGGGGTTTGAGACTAGCCTGGCAGCCAACATGGTGAAACCCCGTCTCTACTAAAAATACAAAAATTAGCCGGGCATGGTGGCAGGCACCTGTAATCCCAGCAATTTGGGAGGCTGAGGCAGGAGGACTGCTTGAACCCGGGAGGCAGAGATTGCAGTGAGCTGAGATCATGAAAAAAAAAAAAATCTGGCTACAAATCATAGTAAGTTCTGAGAGGCAGAGAACAATGTGAGTGTAATAGGGGGAAGATCAGGGAAGGCTTCTAGGAGGAGGTGACATTGAGAAGTTCTAGGCCATTTATGTTCCCTCTACCTACCTCCACCCCAAGCCATACACTGACTTTGAAGCAGAATTCACTGTTGAACCTGGAAGCCCCACCAACTGCCTCTCATGTGTCCTCTGGAATGAGCACCTTACCTCTGCCTCAACTCCCTTTTCATCAGATGAGAGGCTTAGTGGCCTGGAATACATGTGGGAACTCTTGGAAATATGGAGGAGAAGGTGCGGAGCCTCTCTCTCTCTCCTCTCTTTGCTTCCTTAGTTAACTTGTGGGGGACGCAACAAACAATTTTTTTTTTTTTTAACGGAGTCTTGCTCTGTTGCCCAAGCTGGAGTGCAGTGGTGCAATCTTAGCTCACTGCAACTTCTGCCTGCCAGGTTCAAGTGATTCTCCTGCTTCAGCCTCCCAAGTAGCTGGGACAGCAGGTGTGCGCCACCACACCCAGCTCATTTTTGTATTTTTAGTAGAGATGGGTTTCGCCATGTCGGCCAGGCTGGTTTCAAACTCCCCGACCTCAACTGATCCACCTGCCTCAGCTTCCCAAAGTGCTAGAATTATAGGCATGAGCCATTGCCCCGGCCACATTTTTGATTCAGTGGTCAATATGAAATAAGCACTAGGATCTAGTCCAGTAACTTCAACTTCTCTCCTTCATTCATTCAACAAATGGTCAGTGAGCACTTTCTGTTAGCTAGGCAGTGTTTTTGATGTGGGAGGCCCCTGCCCTTAAGGAGTTTACAGTGCATTGAAGGAGACAAATATTGACCAAATAATTACAGAAATAAATGTGAGACTGAAGCTGTCATAGTGCTAGGTAGAATTGTATCTGGTGGTGTGGGCATATAATAGGGATTTGATTTAGGGAGCAGGAGGACATCCTGGAAATGAAGTTGTGCTGAGATCGAAAGACAAATACAAATTAACCAGCTGAAGAAAAGAAGGAAGAGCATTCCAGATGGTCAGGCACACCAGCTTCAAAGCAGGGCTAGTGTTGAGTTCTTCAGTAAACTTAGTTCAAGTTCAAGCCAGCTCTGGGTCACACTGCCTACACAGAAGGAAAAGCATTTCAAATGGGAAAGCCTACGCAAAAGCCCTGTGGTGAGGCCTCCTGGGATCAAGGGAATGGCACGGAGTTTTCTCTTTGCTGGCCTTGGAGTGAGGGGATGAAGACGAGAGGTTCCTTTCATTCAGTCTAACCCTGGTTCCAGTCTTCTGTTGATGCCCTGCCTCACTCCCTCCCCACCATCTTGCCCACTGCCCTCCAGCCTGGTCTGGTCAGACACACCAGCTTCAAAGCAGGGCTAGCGTTGAATTCTTCAGTAAACTTGTTCAAGTTCAAGTCAGCACTGGGTCACACTGCCTAGACAGAAGGAAGAAGACCTGGCCAGGCGCCGTGGCTCATGCCTATAATCCCAGCACTTTGGGAGGCTGAGGTGGGCAGATCACCTGAGCTCAGAAGTTTGAGACCAAACTGGCCAACATGATGAAACCCCGTCTCTACTAAAAATACAAAATATTAGCCAGGAGTGGTGGTGCGCACCTGTAGTCCCAGCTACTCGGGAGGCTGAGGCAGGGGAATCGCTTGAACCCAGGAGGCGGAGGTTGCAGTGAGCCGAGATCACACCACTGCACTCCAGCCTGGATGACAGAGCGAGACTCCATCTCAAAAAAAAAAAAAAGAAAGAAAGAAAGAAAAGGAAGAGAGAAAGGGAAAAGAATGAAGAAGACTTACATTCTTAAGTCCCTGCTTGGCACATGCTTCTCCTCTCCACCACTATCCCTTCTCAGGTCATCCTTTGGGTATCTGATCCCAATAGCTGTTGTCTCAAGCTCTGAGCCCAACAAACCATTTCCCCCTTCTTAGGCTGTAACCTAGGCCCTGCCCTGCAGCTGTCCCCAGCCTCTGCACAAAGAGTTTCCATTTGGTCCCCATCCTGTTCTCTGATGGCTCCACACTACCATCCCTCCTCCTCTGAGAGACAGTATCCCTGCTGTCTCTCAGTTTGGGCAGTCATTCAACAAACAAATAGCAACTTAATTTTTTTCTGCTTATAAAACAGTACATGCTCATTATAGAAACATGAAAAATAGAAAAAAATTAAAAGGAAAACCACCCATCATTTTACAATCTAGGGAGAACCACTACCAACTACAATTTAATATGGAACATTTCAAATATGTACAAAAGTAGAAAGAATGGTGTCATGAACCTGTATGAGACCACTATCTAGCTTCAACTAATGCCTTATCTTGTTTCACCTATATCCCTACCCTTATCCTCTCCTTGG